AATAATAATAATAATAATAATAATAATAATAATAATAATATTTCGTGTTTTTGATATTTTATTGCAATGGCAATCTTTCGCTGGTAATTTATGCAAGCTCTATGACACCTCAGTCACGTGACTTACTGATTTATTATTTGTGATCAAAATTACTGGTTATTAAAAGTATTTATTATTTTTTATAGATATCAATGACTGCAAACCGGACAGCTGTGCTAATGGCGGTAGATGTCAAGATCTTCTTAATGGATTCTCTTGCACATGCGCACCAGGGTTCACGGGACCGCGATGCGGAACAAGTAAGTGTTGGGTAGCCTGTGTATCTTTGATGTATGTAGTTGATGCCACGAAATTTCCATACTTCAAATCGGAAAGTTCTTGTAATATCTTGAAGTATGTTTATTTTGTCTTTCTTGTTTTCTTTTTCTTTTCCCCCCATTTGTTCCTCGTTGCATTCACTTTCATGTCTTTCGTAGAAACCCCCCCTGCGTAATTGATGCAATTGTGAACCCCTTTGCTCTTTCTACGTCTTCAATAGATAACAAAGCCTTGGTCCTGGTAATATACAATGCTATTCTCGACCCCATCTGATATATATTTTACTTTTACTCCGACGAAGGACTAGCATCGGCCGAAACGTCAATAAGTTTTTCATCTTTTCACGGTGTATAATTTACCTTTTTATCATTGCTATTTATTTTTTACGTAAAAATGCCTTCTTTTTTTCCTCAGACATAGATGAATGTAGTTCAAATCCCTGCCAGAACGGAGCCGCGTGTACGGACCGGGTTAACGGGTATCAATGCTCATGTCTCGCTGGATACTCCGGAGACAACTGTGAGATAGGTAGGATGTTAGAGATGACGTCAAATCAATAGACCTCCTCGGCTCTGACGTAATGTTGTCCCATTTCAGACCATGTGTCATTCCCTTGAGAATAAGATTCTTTGTTTGAGTTGTATCCATATTCATGTGTCTTCTCATGTGCAACTGTTAGACAAGGAAATGATACTCTAGGGAATGACACAACATTACTCTGAAATGGGACAACATTACGTCAGGGCCGAGGAGGTCTATTCTCTTATATATTTCACTATGACGTCACAGCCTGGACACTAGCAAATCGAGCAATCTGATTGGATAAATCGCATCGCGGACTGGTCTAGATTCTCCGGTATTAACCGGTCCGATCGCATATTAATCTTACGGCGAAAACATTTTCTCCTTTTTAATGAAAAGTGGTCATATAATAAAACTCTTATCAACCGAGCTTGGTCGGTCTGTAAGGGATAATCTTGACCTCGGTCTGTACATTCCGACCTCGGTCAAGATTATCCCGTACAGACCTCCCGCTCGGTTAATAAGATCTAAATATTATCTCTATCAATTCCAAATGGCGTCATGTCAAAAATGAAAAGAATAACCATGGGATTTCTTTTATTTGTGTTAAGTGCTTGTTATTTCTTTTCTTTTTTGTGAAGACATCGATGAGTGTGCACCAAATCCATGTAAAAATAGCGGGACGTGCAAAGACCTGGTGAACGGCTTCTCCTGCACGTGTGTTACTGGATGGATTGGGAACGACTGCTCAATTGGTAAGATGCCTTGAATCATCATCATTATCGCACTCATCATCATCATTATCAATAGTCTCATCACCATCATCGTCTTTTATCTTTTATCATTATAATCATTATAGCCATCATCATATTCACACGCATCATCATTATCACCATCATCATTATCATCATCGCCATCATCATATTCGTCCTTATCTTCATCACCATCATCACCATCACTATCATTATCATCACCATCATTACCACCATCCTCATCATCATCCCCACCATCATCATCATCATCCTTTTCATCACCATCATTAATCATCATCATCAACCCCTACTTACACCCTCTACGACATCCTACCCCAACAGAAAAATATTTTGATCAAATCATCAAATCGATACAGTAACTTACCAAACACATGTCTTGTTATCAGACTATAACGACTGTCTGTCTAACCCCTGTACTCACGGAGGAACTTGTACTGATAAATTCAACGACTACTCTTGTCAGTGTCGCTTGGGCTACACCGGGAAAGACTGTAGTGCAAGTAAGTAAACATTTGTCATATTCTCTCTCTCGATATTTTTATTTTGTTAAATAAGAATTTTTTGCAAATTTTTTGGGGGAAAATGCGAAATATTCTCAAGTTAATCCGTTTTGGGCTTCCTTTAGCATGTGAGTAACGCCTAGAATATTTTCTTAATTCGCGAACTTCAAGAAGTGGCTCATTTTTTCTCCATTGTGACTTAAAAGACAAAACGACACGCTTTTGTTTAAACTGGTTGTGGTTTTTGAATGAATATGTTGGTGTCAAAAAGACTAAGAATTAAGGTAAAGTTAACCTAAGGCTTTATTTTAGTGAAACGAGTGAGATTTGTTCAGAAGTCAGGGCTAATAAATTTTTAAGAAAAATTTATTATAAGTTAGAGATAACAATTGATGAATGAATCCAAACTTGAGATCTGCATGAACGATTCCTTATTCATTAATTATTAGAACATAATTTTTCTATTTGTGCTATTTTTCCCTAGACATCGATGATTGCCTTTCCAAGCCTTGCAAAAATGATGCTATATGTAATGATCTTTTGAACGACTACTCTTGTTCATGTAAACCGGGATACACTGGCAAAAACTGCGAAACAGGTAAGTTAGTATCCAGCGCCTTTAAGTTGATCAGCAAATGCTGATTATTTTGTTTATGATAAACCTTTTTACTTTGGGCGTAATGTTTTCCCATTTCAGACAATGTGTCTTGCTCTTGAAAGGAGATTCTTTGTTGGAGTTGTATTCATATTCATGTGTCTTCTCATGTACAACCGTTAAACAACGAAATGATACTCTAGGGAATGACACGTGGTCTTGAGAATAAGATTCTTTGTTTGAGTTGTATTCATATTCATGTGTCTTCTCATGTACAACTGTTAAACAAAGAAATGATACTCTAGGGAATGACATGTGGTCTGAAATGAGAAAACATAAATGGGTCGTCCCATTGAAACAATGTGTTTTGTTATTGATGACATTTCACGGGTGAGGGATGACAAAGTACACTTTGCTTTTCTGCAAGGTTCAAGTAAATAAGTCAATGTTTTGTTATACACCAAGCATGCCAGTCAGAGATCTGAGATTTGAAATCTTGGACAATTTGCAAGGTCATGATTCAAAGTTGGTATTCTATTTTATCCCTTTCTTGCTAGATATTGATGAGTGTCTTGGCAAGGTCTGTGAACATGGAGGAACATGTCAAGATTTGGTTAATGATTACGAGTGTAAATGTCCTGCAGGATGGTTTGGACGGCTCTGTGAGAGTGGTAAGTAAAAGATAGAATGGTTTAGGGGTAATATATTGTCATTTCTGTTCCTGTCAATCTCTTTTCTTTTATTTTCCTTTC